CGCTCGTAAATTGACTTCGATAGATCGCGCTAGATTAGCCGTTCGTAGATTCTCGTTGCCCGGTGCAGTGTAACCCCGGCACAGTGTCTAAAAATAATACCCTAGTCTTCGTTCCTCTTTCGTCCCCTTACCAAATACTGCGCCGGCTGGTCCGGTTTCGCCCTGTCCGCGGCGCTCCAAGAACCCGACCTTGAGCAACCGAACAGAAACACGTTCTTCCTCCGTGAATGGCCGTGATAGTCGACGAAAACGTAAGGAGGCCTTTGGAGCACCCTCGTGCAGTACTCCATCAGGCCCTTCGTGTGATAGATCACCGGATGGAGTACCTGATTCGGGTTACTCCATCGTCTGTTCAGGTCTTCGTTCGTCAATCCGTATCGATTGCTGTAATGTAACAAACCGTTTAACGTGCCTCATTCACACCGAACAAATTGAAATACGATAAATGCTGATTGTTTGTTAAATAAATACTGACTCTGGCAGAGAGTTCTTACAAGGTAATTATAAGTGTTTTACTAATAAACAGGCACCGGCGAACAAACGGTCGATTATGAAATTAATTAAGGTGTATTTTTATCGCGGAACGAACATTCTGAGAAGCACGGTTTTAGAATTTCTTAGCAGTTTGCACGTCGGTGGCGCACGTCGGTCGAGCCGAGAAGGAGAAGGGCTCTCTCGTCAGAAAGCGTCTTCATTTAAGGATTCAACCGCGGTTAGAAGGACGTTTCCGGCGGCCGGAAGTCGGGCCGGAGGAAGTGACGCCTCCGCGTCGCGCATAGCTAATAGTGGGGTCCGCCACACCGTGGACCCGTGGACTTTACACAACCACGAGGCCGCCATTTCGCTTTTACCTGTCATTCTTCTGAGATTCTTTCAAGATGTACACGATGCCGGATACTCGGAATATCAAATACACTTCGGGCCCAAGGGAGATCCAACATATCGAGGCATGCTCAAATCTTCCCCGTCTAAGGCTTCAACGCACTTCAACTCGTTAGAAGCTCAAATATTTAACTTGCTCGAATGCTTAGTTGAAATTCGTCGACGCGAAACCAGTTCGAAGGTACTGGACGTGCAAGGTTCTTCTAACATTTGCCAATTATTTGTTTCACGTTCGCGCGGTTAACCAACCGTTCCTTCCAAGAACCTGAACGCCTCCGTAAGAAGCGTAATACCATCATCATCGAGGGGAACATTGACTGACTGGGATAGAAATAATGATCATCGGGTACCGGTCACGGTTACAAGAAGTCGCTCACCGTGGGATTTAACAATCGCTACACGCGTAACCCGTGGACAGGAATCCTCGATCGTTCTTCCGATCAGGCAGACATCGGGCCACGTAACACGAACATTAGCAATTTGACGCCTCGTAATCGCTTCCGGTCTTTAAGGTAGTGTACAGTGTGCACGTGACACGGGCCCAAGATAGCAACGTAACGATCGATATCTCGCGTCCAAGCAGATGGCGAGGAATAATAAGAATAATGGGCAAGCGATGACGATGCAGATGATGTTACGCGAAGTAATGTTCTGTCGTCGTCGTTGCCGCGAGACAACGTTCAGGACGTTCACCGGGCGGACATTCGCAGAAATCGTAGAAAAACAACAGTCATCGGAGATAATAGATTTCGTCCGGCGTGGAACAAGAGGGACGAAAGAGTGGAAAGAAAAAGAGGCACGTCCGATGAAAGAAAAAAAGGAAGAAAAAGAGAGAAAGAAAGAAAGAACGGACGGAAGAATTATTCTCAGACGCGTATTAAAATGAAATCATCGCCAGGCGAACCGACGATCATCGGCTCGTCCGACGTTAAAAACACGGAACTCTAATGGTTCTCGAGCCCCTTGGTTCCGTTATACTCGATTCTATTTCAAGGAATTCGAATTAGCAGAGGAAAAAGGAAAAGAAGAAGGAGAAGGAGAAACACGGCCATTATCCCAGGGAGACTTCTTTCTTCTGGCTGTTTAATCGCTCTCTAATCATTATAAACATCTCGTTTCTTCGTCAATGGTAAATCGGCCGTGTACCGGTTCCAGATTCCAATTTAATCGTAATCGTAAACAGTAGGTGACTTCGTGCAATCGCGTTTACTCCGTCCGAGTGAAAGAACAATGAACGAATAAGTACTTATGCATGAACAATTCGACGACAGAGACGAGGGAACAGAACGAAATGGCGCAGAGACCCGCGGCACAACACGCGAGCGACAATGAAGCAATTGTACAATAAACTTCTTCGCAGTTTTATTATATTAGCTGGCCCGATGTAATGGGCAACATCAGTTTGCTCGTGCTAGCAACCGATGTCAATGACTTGAACGGAGGAGCCTTGACCGCGAACTTCTCTCTCGTCTTCTCAGAGATCCTGTACAAATTACACTTAACCGGCCGCTCGTCTCGGACCGGCTACGCGCGCGAGACTTTTCAAAGGCACCGCCGTCCACGTCGTACACCCGGTTTCGCAAAAATCCCGGGACGGATCACCAACGGCTCGTTGGATTACGATTAACGAGCACCGATTTATCGTCATCGCTTTATCGATCGTAAATCAACGTCATTTCGACTCAATTGTCGTGTGTTCTCGTTCGATCCCGCTGAATCTTTACTCGCGGTGAATCTTAACACACGCAATTTCCTCCCTCGAATCTCCCGAGAAATCGGCGAATCGGGCGCCCGATATCGGCAATGATGTTACTGAATCGCATTACCGATGCGGCACGGTGCAGCTGCGATCTCGGCGATTACATCGAAAGTGGTTGTACGTGTTTCTCTCTGGTTTCACTCTCTACCGAGCGAAACCGATTGCATATCGCGCTACCAACGCGCGGTCGAAATGCGCGCGAATCGAGAGATTCACAGATGGTTAAAAGAATCCTGTTCTACGGGTTCTCGTTTCTCTTTTCCTCGTCGAACGTGTACGCAGGAGGAAATAATTTTTAACATCAAGTATTTTTTGACGTTAAGTATTTTCCCGCGTTAACGGTCTACGACGCGAGAAGTCACGTTGAAAACGTTCGACGGATCGTCAACGAATCCCGTTACGAGTCATTTTTGCCTACCGGTGAACGATCTGCGAACGGTCTCGTTTATCTCCGCGTAATCTGGATACACCGCGTACAGCGGATTACGCCGTTCCGAAGAAAATCCAGCCAGGATAATCACTCTCGAGAGGTCCGAGAGGAGAGAGACTCGAAGCGGACGCGGCGGAAGAAAAATCAGCGGATCGTTCTTGCGATCGTAAAACGAAATCCTTGGGCACCTTGGGAACGGTCATTTCTTCGCCAGGTCGTCTTCCACGTATCACGCATTTCTTCCGTGAACTTTACTACCACCAGTCTGTGCTGCCCGGCTTCCCCTCTATCTTTGTTTCATCTCTTCTCGCCTCGCGGCATTTTCTACCCGAGGTTATCCCGAGGTTCGATCGTGTAACCGCGCGTTCTGAACTCCTTTTTCCTTCGCCCCGCGCAACCTGGTGCAAGAAATCTATTTCCTGCGTCGTTGAAGTACAGGCCGTAACCGCGCTCGAACGCGGTTTCAAATCGCGTACCATCCATTCGTACGCGATTTTTGTGCGAATCGGAAACTTTACTCGGTTACGATGTTTCGCGCAACGAAACTTTTCCCCCGAGGGAAAGGATCGACGATGAGTATGCATGCAACGAGATAAAGAGAGATCACACGAACGAGCAATCTCGTGAACGAGATTTGTGAACGAGAATGGTAGGAATATAGTACTGTACAGAAAAATCTACGTATCAGCGGCGAATGTTAAATTTGTCGCGATACATCGTCATTTAAACGTGCAAATTACCACCTGGTAATTCGCAGCTGCCGCTCGGTTATCTCGAAACGCTTCGACGCGCGAGAATCGAGGCTCGCCCCGAGCCTCCGTGCATCGTTTCGCGCGCGGCGTTTCGAGAGGAATACACGCAGGCAAACGATAGTCGGCTACCAGCGAGGATCCAGCGAGTATCTTTATAGCGTCACTGATACGAAAGGGACGCGTGACGTTCGTTTCAGGATCCTCGCTTCGGCCGAAGCGATCGCACATTGGAATACTCGTGACCAGTCCCCGATTTGCATTCCTTCGCGAAACCAAGGCCTCTCTTTCTCTATTCCTCTCTTGAATCTTCTTCTTTTTTTTTCTTTCCTACCCCCTTTCCTTCTATTTTTCTTTTTCTTTTTGTTCCCTTTGCACACGCGAGAGTCGAGAAATGGGTGCGAGCATTCGCTGATGAATTCTCGGCCACGCTGACGTTTCTTCTACGACCTGACCGATCGTTTCTTCGAAGCTGATGCGGCAAGAGTAGCCCTTACGTTGGCGTCAATTCCAACGTCCACGGGGGGAACGAAACGGAGGAATGTCCGTGCAGCTTTTTACTATAGTCGCGATTCGTCGCGGTGTGATGCTCGGCTGCGTGGGCCTCGTGAAATTCGCGTGAATTTCACAACGCATCGCGCGTGAGTACGACCGCGTAAATACATTACATATACCGTAGCCGAAGCGACGGACTTGACGTGGATTAATAAAATACCTGCAGAGTTATCGACATTTTCCTCATACGTAGAAAATGCGTCGTTGGCGCGACTGGTTCTTAAGCTTGATGGAGTCCTTCAGTTCCACAGGAATCGCTAAGATTTTGCTAAATATCAAAACTTCCTTCGTTTCGATTCTTTCGAATTTCGTGCCGATTTCCGTGACGAACGATTGATTTATCGATTCGAAAACGTTTCAAACACCAAGGACGTGCGATCAGGAAATCACTCTGACGGACAGATAGTCGATTTCATACACCGATCTTTAACCACCTCGCTCGTGAATACGACGATACTACGATACAGCGTACAATACGAAATATTCGCCGTTCGAGCTCGCGTGGCTAGTCCAATAAATTCCGAGATTTAATTTCGCGATTCCGCCGGCACACGGAACGAATGTCTCTGCGCGCGAGACTCTGGGAATAGAATTCTCGCCTATCCGAATCGAGATTTAATTTAGAGGCCTGGCCGGCTGGTCCACAGGCATAGTTCCCTGGAAGCCTTCTCGGTAACTGCACACAATACCGAGAAACTATATAACAGCCGGCTAAATGGAACCCCCGAGCGCCTCGAAATGGGTTAGAAAATAAGACGAGAGGTAACAGGCCACTAATGAAGCGAATCTTTGACAAGTGCCCTCGAAGATGGGCTCAAATTGATAGCTTCTAATACTCAGAACGCGTTCTAGTTGTTTTCAGTGCGATTCCAGTTGAATCGAATGGTGTTCGTCGTGACGTCTCGGAGTGTTTTCTGGAAATATTCGATATTCGATCGAAAGGATTTTTCCTTCTCTTATGGTATAATCGATGACCAGTCGGTTAATAACGCAAATCACCGCGGAGTAATCCAGGAATATAAATGAAGAAAGAATGTAAACTCAGCCGTTCGTGCCATTGAATCTACGATGAAGTTTACGATTTCTACTCGTTGGCTAATTCTAGTTCGATACCAGACGAACAGAGACAAGCAGGCAATCCCTCGAGAATATTTCGAGGATCGTTTCAGTGGAGGCTGGATCATTGTAGTCAGGAACGTCGCGTGCAATGTTATTTTACAACGACGAAACAGAGACTCTGGTACAATTTGCTGGTACAACTAAATTTACTTGAAAAACTATGAAATGACGATACAGAAACGTAAACTTAAAGAAGAATCGATCCAACAGGTAAAGAATTAAGTATCGGAACGAGAAATAATTCCAAAAATCATCGTAGAATGTCGTATAATATAAATTCAAGTCTCAGAACAACCATTGAACCATTCGAATTAAAACGACGAGAACACTTTGCGAGGAATCGTCGTCGCGACGACGAACTTGTCGAAGAGGTCGTAAATCTATCCGCGAAACAGCTTGGTCAATTATATTAAAACGACGGCGGCCAGGCTTGTTTCGAGAGCCGCTTGTAACCGCAAGCAGAAACGGAGTTCACGGTTTCAGGTTCTAGGTCAGCCCGTGGAGCCCGGGGCACGTAACAGCGGCAAGAACAGGGGCCCAAGTAAAACGGTGGGTAGCAAGAGGCGCGTTTAATGGTCGTACGGTTGCCACGGCTGTTATTATCGTCCATTTCTCCGTTCTATCGGCGATCACATGCGCCGCGGGTCGTGATTCGCGATCGTGGTTTCATCGCGAGAACCAACCGCGGGTGGTACAGTTGTAGAAAGAGAGACAAAGAGAGAGAGAGAGAGAGAGAGAAAAGAGAGAAGAAGGAGGCAGGAGGACAGACTGGAAGACCGCCTGGTCCCGATATCAGAGATGATTTAGGGAACGCGACGGGATTACGTGTCCCCAACGACGAGTTTCGCTGTTTCTTGCGGCGTTTCAGCGCACCGTGTAATCGCATTATATCCCGGGGGAACAACACGGTCTAAATATATATACACGCGAGACATCGTGCGCATAACAAGGCGTGGGTACGTAATCGATGAGCCGTGTACCGAAGATATCCTCGATAATCCGTAGCTCTCGGCTGCGTTCTCAACCCTCTCACGCTGAAGAATGATCGAACTCGTTACTTCGTGGAATTCGTGGATAAAGGAAATTCTCTCGTTGTTATTTTAAACGAGAATTTCAATAACTCTCTCTCTCTCTCTCTCTCTTTCTTTCTCTGTATGAGAAAAATTGACAGAGGGCGACGTCGAAGATAATGATTTTATTTACGACCAATTCGATAACGAACGGTAACTCTCGCTAACATTAAACGTTGAGAATGCGAGATAGAAGAAACGATGCGCAGATTAGTTACGGCCTGATTCGACACGGCTCTAAAGGCACGAATCGAGAAAAAAGCGTGCAAGGACGCTCGACCTTTTCGTAACCACCGAGTCGCCTAACCGCTTCGCGCGGATTTAATTGGATTCTCCAAGAAACGAAGAGAAATCCTGGATATCCCCATAAAGAATCGTTTCGATTAATATTGCCTATTTCAGTTAACACGGTGCCCGTAAAACAGAAACCATGGCTCTAGTCGGGAACTAACGCTAGTTACTCAGCTAAAAGAACATTCGCGAAACGTCATACGTCGAACGAGCAAACATACGTCGATATCTCGACTGGCGATATCTCGGCTGGTAAGAGACAGGATGATGAGGACCACTGTCTTAGAAGTATCAAAATGGAAGAATCGACGCCGTCGAAGCCTTCAGGGCAGTACAGCTCCTGCGCGATCGTCTCGAACGTCGAGGCTATTCGCGGGCTAAAGCAGAGTTCGTTCCATGTCCGTGGAACGAACGAACGAAGGAACGAGGGAACGAAGGAGAAAGAAAACGTCGGGAGAAAAGGGACGAGGGCCTAAGTAGAAGAGAAGAGAAGAGTTACTCTTTAGAGAGTGGAGAGAAAGATAGAAAGAACGAAGGGGCCTTACATAGCGATTGCAGGGCCTGAAATAGACCTCGAGAATCCCCTGTAGCATCTTCACCTCTCTTTCTTTACCTCCTCCACCACCACCGGCACCTCTTTCTTATCCTCCTCCTCCTCTTGCTCATTCTCTTTATATACTTCTTCTTCTCCTTCTTCTTCTTCTTCGTCTTCTTCTTCTTCTTCTTCTTCCTCTTCTTCGTCCAACATTAAGCGTTGCCTGCAGCTCTCAAGAGCCTCCCTTTTCTTTACTTTTGTTTTCACAAAAAAAAAAAAGGAAAGAAAGAAAGAAAGAAAGAGAGACCAAGAGGAGTCCCTCTTGCCTGGCTGTGAGAAGTTGTTCCTAGCGTCTCGTTCACGCAGATAGAGCGAACCCGACCGAGAAACGAAGACAAACGGGACGAAGAAGGTGGTGGAGGATCGCTTGTTTATCCAGGACCGAGCTTCTGCTTTCGTTTCACCCACCGATATATGGCCACGAACGGAGACCCCCGTAGGCATTTGCCGGACCTAAGTGCACTCCACTGCGCTCTGCGGACTGCATTCCCATGGGAATACGTCGCTATGAGTCCGACCTGTTAAACTGACCTGCTCCAATGTACCAGCGAAACGTGACCCACGCAAAGCTACGTGTGCTCCGGCATATTAGATTCGAGTTTAGTCCACTGCGTGACAGTCACGCCAACTTTTTTTGCTCTTCGCGTCTTCGTGTGCCTTCGAATAGTTAAGCTCGCTCGCTAACGAACCACGTCATAGCAATAAATTCGATTACGACCAAATTTACCCTCTCGCGGATTTAAAACGATCGGGAAATACTTCGTCATAATGAAATCTATAACGAGAGAGAGAGAGAGAGAGAGAGAGAGAGAGAGAGAAGCCAACGATCGCTGAAAATAACCATTCCTGGATAATTTCTAATAATAAAGTATTCTAAAGATAGAGATCGAAGGAATAGTTGCAGAAGGGATCTAAAAGCGAACGAGAGATATTTTAAGGACCGGTTCAAGTCATAACTACTCCCTCGCTTCAATTACCCGCTTCTATTTACGATCGACCTGACGTTACGGCCTCCGGTAATAAAGCACATACTACTTCGGCAATTTCGTTCCAACGACGTTCTTCTACCTGACACAACCGTGTCGAATCTTTAAATAGATTATGCCCGGCTCGTTATGGAACGTAGAACTAAAATCGACTCGCGTATCGCTGAACGGCGCGCGAGATCGAGGCGCTTTCATGCGAGTCGGGGAAACGAGGAGAGAAGAACTCGACGACCGAAAGGGACTGGCCTGGCTAGGCCTCGGATGTCACGCGAGTCCCTTTTTGCTGGACTGGTCGCAACACCAAGGCGTAACACCAAGAAATAACACGTCGCGTATAATGATCGTCGATCCGGCGATACCGCGGGATATCGAACACGATTCGACACGGTCTGAACGAACAAAGACGAAGCGCGCAGAACAGAAGCGCGAGAAGAGGGAAGAAAACGAGAGAAGAAAGAAGCAAATTCCGGGACAAAATGAAATAAATCCTCGTCCCTCCGGTACCGGTTGCATATCGTAATCGAAGTATAACTGGGTACCCTAGGTAGTTTACACCGGTCGTTTACAACGCGAGAGTAGCACGCGATACGTGCATGCAGCACATATTCCAGAAGCGTGTGATCTCTCGTGCGAGAGAAGACGCGGCCAGAAATGAAGCCTACCTTGAGACAAGAGCCTTTTTGCCGAAGCGGTCGGTGGAACCGATGGCAGGCAGTTGTAGTTCCACAACGTGGAAAGCAATGCCAGCAAGAAATTTCTCGACGAGAGACGAGATACTTCGAGTCTTCGCTTCGTGTTAAAGGGTTAATATCGGGTCCGGTGTATTAAGACGGGCATCATTCTCGAACAAGAGTGTCTCGAATGTTTTGTTCTCTATCTACCGTGCCGGTGGTATCGTAATGGTGGAGAAAGCGCGTAATAATTAACGTCGATCGAAATAATTAACGTATTTCGCGTTTGCGAAAGCGTGTGGACGCTTTTAAAATGGAATCCTCTATCCCCGGCACTGACCGTAGGTGCGCATTAAACTGGCATAAAAATACTGGTAGCTGGGTGTATTTAAACGATTGTAAAACGATCATGCGTTTTTCAGACGTCGAAGATACCTCTCTTAATGGGGCGGAGGGGGAGGAGGCCGGTCAATGCCAGCGGTGAAAAAACTAAGCACGAAAAGATCCGACGAATAAGAATAGACGGCGCCAAAGGTGTACAACAAGGGAACCGGTTCAAAACCTCCTGCGCCGGTGTACACCGACTTTCATGGAGATTTTACCGAGTCACTTCGACCGTCGTGCGCGTACAATATATTGAACGCGTGTATGTATGACTCCCGTAATACCTGGCTGTGACTGCAACCAACGGTGTACCAACTCGATCGCGCAATTAGTATACTACGTCACACCGAATGTCGTTGACACGTAGCTTACGATATGATAACCAACTCGTGATAAACGTCGAGTCGAACGTTTACGCTTCCCTGCGGAGCATCGAGAGAGAGAAGAACCAAGAAAACTTTCGACGAGAACACTTTCTTGTCGCGAGTCGTGATTTACGTCCGCTGATCGGTAAATCGAGTGGAACGATGGAATCGTCAACACGCTCGGATCGTCGACATCTGCGCTCACGACGGATGGAAAACGGTGATTTTGAGGGATGGTATGCGCCGCGTTCTCGCGCGGCACGCTCAGAAATGAAGTCTACCTTGAGGCCTGCCACGATCGGTGTCTTTTTGCGCCAGTCCGCGTCGATACGATTCCATTCAGGACGATGAAGACCGTGAAGGGACGCGAAGCGAAATTCCATCCACCGCGACCACCAACGTAAAACAAACTAAACGATGGAACAACGTTATTAATAGCGTGCACCGCCACTCCAAATAGATCGGAGCGCGGAGTTTGCCGACGAATCATCTTCTCGCTGTGTAGTAGACAACTTCGAGCCTCGCTCTCTGTTCCATTAGCAATCGGACTCCACGGTTCACTCGGGAGCTTTTCGATATCGTTCCGAGTCGTTCTTTAGCGTTTCACGTATAGCCACGCGTTAGAAGAAAGAAAGAACAACATTCAAACAACATTCACCCACGATGAATCTTCGTTATACAGAGAAAAAATGAAAGGGAGAGAGAGAAA